GGCAGAGTGCAGTAGAAGAGGCCTGCCGAGAACCCCGAACCCTCCAGAGGAGGAGGAGGAGCCACCCAGTGCCACTGCAGGTCAGAGGAAACGACCCAAAATGCCCTCAAATCATGGGACTTCCACAAACAACTTCAACAAGGCAGCCGACCCCAAGCCACCAGGGCAAGCACGCTGGATGCAGGCCCGGCATGCATTGCCTTCACATCCTTCTCAAGCCAGTTTGAAGACAGCTCAAGGGAAAAGAAATGAAAGACTGAAGCCAAATACCCACGGGCGCGCAAATTCTTGGCTACGAGAGATGCCAAAAGGGTAGGAACCTGCATGTGAAACTGCACCTGGCTGACACCCTTAGGAAGAACAGAAGCAAACAAGCACACAGTGAGGCACTCAAACTCGCCCCCTAGGTAAACCTGAACAACCATAGACGTTTCCCACCATTAAAGCATGCGGGTTCGACAATGTATGCCATGCACCCAACAAAAAGAAAGGTCAGTCTGCCAACCAGGATGACTCCAGCACCTCGTAACACACCCAATAAGGAAAAGTCGCACCGTTCTAAAACAAGGAAGGGTCCATTATCAAGGCAAAATCTGGATTATGCAGGAAGTAAGCTACAATGGCCTCTGGAAGGAAGGGACCGAAGAACACGAGGGAACCCGGGGAGGAGCTGAACCCATATCCCCTCCCCCCTGTACGAATTTGATAAGAAAACCCCTCCCTCTGTAACAACAAACCCTGTGCCGAGGGTACCAACACCCAGGGGCGCCTGACGCCTGACAGCTGAGGGCGCCTGACAGCTGAGTGGACAGCGCCTCGGATTCGTAGACCTGAGGTTCTGGGTTCAATCCCCGGCGGAGGCTGAGACAAATGGGCAAAAATGTTTTTCACCCTGATGCCCCTGTTACCTAGCAGTAAGTAGGTATCTAGGAATTGGACAGCTGCTACGGGCTGCTTCCTGGAGATGTGTAACAAAAAGGAGGCCTGTCGAGGACCGGGCAGCGGGGACGCTGAGCCCCAAAATCATCTCAAGATAACCTCAAGATAACCCAAGCGGAGTCAAACGGGGCCCAAGCCTCCCCAAGTCAACTCCTCCACAACCATCCTCCATGTCAGGACTCGAAGCAGAGCTGTCCTCCAAACCCTCTGGCCCTGAAGAAAAGGCAGAGTCCACCGGAAAGGCTGGGAAAAAGGGGCTCACTGATCAGACCCAGAAGCCCTGGCAGGAGGATCCAGCTCGAATTCTGGGCAGCCCGGCATGGGACAGCACTGAAACTGCCGGTCTCACCAGCAGCTAAACCCTATAATGACTTCGAAACCCTCAGACGTTTTGGAGCCAGCAGCAGTTCCCCTCCCCCTCCCCCCCCCCAGGACAAATGAGGAAAGGACTAGGGAGTGTGGATGAAATCAAAGTTGAAGACTAACACCCCAAGTCCGGGTGCCTATAACCAAAGTGGGGCAGCCACAGAGCATCCGGAAAGGCAACCAACCGAGTGCATTGCAGCAGCCTGAACCTCGGATGCAACGCATGCTGCCTGCATGTGAGATGAAATGCTAGAGATGCTATACCGATATGTTTCAAGACTCTAGTGCTCTCTAGAGTTGCGTACTGCTGCACAATGACAACCCCTTTCAAAGCTGGGGAAATTGCTGACCTGGAGTGTGTAGAGATCCTTTACGGCTAGAATCCACTCGGTAAAACATCTAAACTATTGGGACTGACTAAAGAGCCTAAATCTGTTCTCTTGAGCGCAGGCGGGAGAGATGCATAATAATTTATACGTGGAAAATATTAGAGGGGCTGGTCCCAAACCTGCACACGGAAATATCACATGAAAAAGGTGACACCCCTAGGGTCAACGCTTGCATCAGAGGAGCTCCAGCATATTTCAACAATCCTAAGTATTGTAGTACATGATGATAGTGAGTGGTGTCCCAAAGAACATAAAAGTATAGTGCTTTTGAAAAATAGGTGAGATAACAGGAATGTGCTAAGGGAAGTGAAAAATCGGATGAGAAAAAGTTGCCCTAGTGTTTCCAGTGCAGAGAAGAACATTCAAAATGGCCACCGGCAAGAGGAAAAACAAAACAGAGCTTGATTTTGCAGGATTCAATGAAGAAAGCATTGATATTAGCAGTCTACACAACAAGTTGGTAAAATTAGATACTATAGTGAACTCTCGTGTAGAAATAATTAGTAAATTGAAAGAAAGCAATGACCATTTGAATAGCAAAGTTTTATGTCTTGAGGGTTTAGTGAAAAACTTGCGCAAGGATTAGAATCAATTGGAAACAAATTGCAAAGCCATGGAAGAAGAAAAAACTCTACAAAATTACTTTGGAAGAAGTTAAAGTAAATTTAAACATAAATGACTACAATAGATTAGGTAAGGAAATTCAACAGGAGAAATGGCTTTTGTCAGCACAGTTAACCTACCACCAGGACAAAGAGCAGAAAACCGTGCACGGGAAGAGAGCATGAAGCTTCCCAACCTGACCCCCAGAAGCTAATGCCAACAGGAAAAAGAGCCTGAGAAAAACAATCCAGAACTGAAGGAGCCACAACAAACCAAGGAGAAAAGAGAGCACCCAGTCCAAAGACCAGGACAACTCGGATGGTGCATGAGCAGGCCGAAGGTGCACAGTGCATAATGCTTGCGGAACGGAGCGGAAGTAACAACCCTCAGAATGCAAGCAAAAGCGGCTCTGCCAACACCACACGATTTGAGGCAACAGTATTCAGCATCAAAAGACGGTTTCTGAAAAAGTCAAGAGAGAAAGGACAAAACAACCAGATCCGAAATAGATGACAATCTACGAAGGGAGAGAACCCGACAGAAAGAACACCAGGAAACTTCATACTGTCGCCGAGACGAAACTCGCAAGTGGGACACCATCTGTGAAGCCACCTGATCACCATGCAAGTGGTGATAAACCAGGTCAGAAAGACAGAGCAGAGGAGACCACCGAACCAGCCACGTACCATACTGGTCCAATCTGCTGAAAGAGGTGGAACTGCAGGAAACTTCGCGGGTTCGAACACTGAACAAGCTGCGCCTGAAACCAAAGCTGGGTCAGCCACCAAGGGGCCAACAGTACTACTACTCTCTGGGACGGCTCTAAAAGAGCCAGAAGTCGCTAAGAGACCAGCCCCAAAGAGCCAAGGACCGAAGAGAACCCACACGGGTCAGGCAAGGAACCACCGGAGTGCAGTCCAAATGGAGCCTGATCGAAACCCGAGCGACCCGCACCCTCTGAAGTGACAGCCAAACAGGCGCGAACTGTGTTGTGAGCCCTACTGAAGGACGGAGCCCACTGCTCCTGGCCGGCCTGGTGAGCACTGGTCACAAAGCCCCAGCCAAGAGACAAGGCATCCGTAAACACTTTGAGCGAGGGCTCGGGTAGGAGCCACGGCATTAAGTGAAGCATTAAATGTGCAAAAACTAGAAGATAGAAAAAAGGCGATATAATCACTACTTACAAAATAGTAACAGGAATCGATAAAATTGATAGGGAAGAATTTCTAAGACCCGGAACGTTATTTATTTATTTAATTTATTTATATTCAAGAAGGTACATTGGGTTTGAGAGTACAGAGCATTAAAGTTTTTCATACATACATTCTTGTAAAGCCACTAGCATGCATAGTTTCATGCAAATCCCTAAACTAACAGGTAATTTTAGACAATTCACAGCAAAATTGACAAATGTTTACAGGTACATTTCAGTCTTACTATACAGGTACAGATAATTTTAAGTGGAATAATTACAGCAAACCGTCAAATGTTTACAGGAACATTGCAAGAACTTTTGACACAAAAGCAGATTAGAATGCACAATAATGAAAGGATTACTAGGTACATTAGGACAACATTCCAGGGTTACACATTGGTTCACTGAAGCAAAATGAGGATCATTTCAAGGAATAATGCAGCAGGATAATTACTCAATACAACAACCATGATATCAGATGATACTGTTAATCACAACTACCTCTTACTTAAACTCCAGCATTATGGAATCCAAAGCCTTGCCCTGGACTATATCCGATCCCAACTTAGTGACATACACCAATGTGTAGCCATCAATGATACGACCTCTTCCACTCTACCAATAACAGTTGGAGTGCCACAGGGCAGCATCTTGGAACCTCTTCTATTTCTTATATATATCAATGATCTGCCTAATGTTTCTAATATTCTCAAACCTATATTGTTTGCTGGTGATACTACCCTCATCTATTCAGACCCCAACCCCCACAAACTAAATAATGTTTTGAATAATGAATTAAAAAAAAGTCCACTTATGGATGTCTACTAAAAAACTAACACTAAACATAGAAAAGACCTACATCTTACTTGGAAGCAAATCATCGAATGCAATTCAGCTACAGATAGACATCATCAGTAATAAAAATGATGGAAAGTTTCTTGGCCTATTCCTAGACAAGAGACTCAACTTCAGCACCCACATTCAACACACAACTAAGAAAGTCTCTAAAACAGTTGGTATACTCTCCAAAATCAGATATTATGTTCCTAACTCTGCTCTCCTCTCTCTATTATGCACTAATCTATCCCTATCTTACTTATGGTATCTATGCGTGGGGGGTCAACCACTGCAAAACACCTGAAGCCCATCATCACCTAGCAAAAAATCTATCAAAATAATAACAAACTCTGCTTTCAGACAACACTCGGCTCCCTTGTTTAAATCCCTTAACATGCTAATAAAACCCTCTGTTCTTGAGGCTGTGGTCTTGAGGCTGTGGTCTTGTTTGAAGGCATATTTGCCACCGTTCACTGTGCCTCTTTGAGGAGGCCAGGTTCTGGCTTATGGTCCCTTATAGGCCAATAGAACCATTCAAATGACAACACCTAATAGTATGACACATTAGAAATAGTAGCTTCAGCAAACCACTGGAGCTCGCCTAGAAATTGGTGTTTCATTACATTCAATGCTGGATTTTTTAACTAATATATTTCTAAATTATATTACAGGAAAAAAGTATCAGCAAATGAAAGTTTCACCTTCAGCAAAATAGACTACAAACATCATCATCTTCAACAAGTGACTTCAATTGAAGGTCTACTTAAAATAAAAGAAGAAAAATTGTAAGTATTTTCCTAAAATACTGTACCGTATTAGCTAGCTGATCCTGATTTCACTTGTAGAGTATATTATAGCAATTATATACAATGGGGCCTCGACTTACGATGCTAATCCGTTCCGAGAGACGGATCGTAACTCGAAATATCGTAAGTCGAAGTGATTTTTCCCATAAGAAATAAAGGGAACTGAATTAATCCGTTCCCCACCCTCCAAAATATTAACATACAAATACCGGGCCCGGGGAAGAGGGGTACACTGGGGAGGGGTTTGTTGAGGGTTGGGTGGAGGTCTGATACGGAAGAGCATGTGGTTGGTAGTGTTGATGATAGTATGGTGGTTGTTGTTGGTGTGGTATGTAGTGATGTGGTTGTGGCTGGTAGTGTGGTGGCAGTTGTTGTGGTGGTTGTTGTGGGTGTGGTTGAGTGTGGTGGTGGTGGTGGTTGTTGTGGTTGTAGTGGTAGTGATGCTTGTGGGTGGTGGTGGTGTTGTGGGTAATATGCTGGGTGTTGGTAGTTTGGTGGTGGTTGTGGGTAGTATGGTGGTTGTTGGTGATTGTGGTTGCTGTGCTGATTGAGGATGGAGTTAGTACTGTTTTTGGTGAACCAGACTGCACCAATCCCAGGGGCCCCACAGTTGCATCATCCCCTGGAGTCTGTTGTTGGACGGGGGTAGATGTTCCATTGTTGGGGTCTACTTCCCCATCACTCCCTATGGCCACCCCCAATCATCGTGATATCCGTGGACCGAGAGCCCTCAACGAAATCCTGCTATCGTCCAGGGCTGCTGCCCCTTTGGCCCCCGGATCCGTTACTCCCGCCTGGGCACTCCCTGGGCTCCCGATGGGGTCACCTTGCCCCACTGTGGGGCCCGCTTGGGTTTTCTAAAGAGCTAACGCCTGCACCGCCCCCACAGTTGGGGGTTTGTCGCGGCCCCCCCCCCCCCAGGTAGTCTTGTTTTCTACCATGCCTTTACTTCTGAGAAATGTGTACCTACAACCTGCACTTTTCTCGCTATTCCACACAAACTGACCCTACTGGGTGTAGTATGCAAGGAGCTATCACAAGCTATCGCCTTTGAAATTTTAACGCATTCCTAACTCGACAATTAAGCCCACTCTCGATAACCTCTCAAAGTATTCCCGAACCTTTTACGTTAAAATTCTCGAGCATCTATATCGGAACTATCCTTCATTCATACTTTTTCTTAACCGCGTTCCACAGCACCAGTGAGAACCATCAGTCCTTCGCCTATTGACAGGTGGTGACAGATGTCGGCGTCAGAATCTCGCTCCACCAATGAATGAAATTCTTTTGTCTTGTATCCTCGTCTCTCATTCGTAAAAGTAATACGCAGATAGAATACACAACCTGACTTGACTACCATTTATCACTGAAACAAGATACTGTACTGTATACAATGTCAAATAAAATACATGTGCAATTATAAACCAAATAAAAAGGTCACATTAATTATTAGATGGCCGAAAATACTAGAATGAACTTGATAGAATGAAATTATTATTACTACATTCCTTTAACACACACTATTGACTGTACTGCAATTGAAAAGAATTAAAGTGAGAATTTCTAGTCTCTAAATACGAGTCCGATATAAATCTTAATTGAATAATTACCGAATTCTTGAAAATATTCTGAAATTATACAATTAATATTTCCGTGAAGTAACTACTCAGAATTTATTGTAAATAATTTAAGTTTCTAAATTTTCTAAGGTCGCCATAATGTCCTTTCCTGAAGTCAGGTTTTTCAACTGCTTCAACCTACTTGTATTTTTCCAGATTATAACGCATTGCATACTTTATTCCCAAAAAGACATGGTCACTTTTACCCAAGGGAGGAAGGTACTGAATGTCAAATATTTCTTCCTCTTTCCTGGTAAATATCAAATCTAGCATGGAGGGAACGTCCCCTTCCCTCATCCTCGTAGCTTGTTTAACATGTTGATACAAGAATGTTTCCAGGATGTCTACAAATCTACAGGTCCAAAAATCTTCTGTTTTAGCTTCATATGCTTCCCAGTCTATGGATTTAAAGTTGAAATCGCCAACTATAAACAGTCGTGATCTATCGTTATCCGCTCTCGCTATAAAATCTGAGACCATCCCGTTTATTATCTAGCGCCTCCTTTGACCATGTGCTGCTTGGCGGTGGACTGTATGCATTTATGGTCGTTAGTTTATCATTCTCATGGCAGATCTCTAGTGCTATTATGTCAACTTCTTGTGGCTGTGGTCTTTAGTTTTAACAATGCAGTCTTTTGGTTTGCCTCTTTCTGGGTTCCTTCCCCAGTTGGTGGCAAGTATAAATAACTTTACATTTGAAGTGTTCAAAGGCCATCACTCCTTTTGCCTCTGAGACCTGGTTCTGGCTTGTAGCCCTCTGTAGACCAATAGAACTTTGCGACTAATGGCACCGAGTAATATGGCACTGATCAGTGTATGATAGTTTCAGAGAGCCTCTGGGGCTCATCCAGAAACTGAAATTTCATTACATTCAACACTTTTTTAATCTAGATTTTGCATAAGAGAAAATATTTCGGATTCATCTGTTTCATTAATGGCCTTTTGCTCTCTCCATAGTACCACCAAAGATGATGTTCATGTTCCACATCAACCAGATGTGGAACATGTTCCACATCAACCACATCCACATCATATCACACCTTCAATAATAATTGAAGAAAAGGTGTGGCTCAAAGACGATATCACAGCCTTAAGTAAATATAAACAACTAGAGAAGGAAAATGAAGATCTAAAAGAAAAATTTAAAAAATGAGAAGTAGTTAATAAACATATTGTAGTCTCTAGAGTTGAATATTGTTGCAAATTAGCAACCCTTTTCAAAGCTGAAGTAATTGCCGACCTGGTCCGTCCTCCCACTCCCTTGACTCCAATGTCTTTGCATGCTTTGCCTATACCCCATAGCCCCAATTCACTGATCAAAGATTAAGAACCCTTTTGCAGGAGACAGAAGAGGAAAGCCAAAGACGCATACGTCGTTTTCAGGAAAGATTAAGGAAATGTGAGGTATGTAGTTATTAAACATATTGTAGTCTCTAGAGTGGAATATTGTTGCAAACTAACAACCCTATTTAAAGCTGGAGTAATTGCTGACATGATTCATCCTCCTGCTCCCTTGACTCCATTGTCTTGCTTGCTTTGCCTATACCCCGTAACCCCAATTTCACTGATCCTGGTCTTACTTAGTCTACTGTGTTGTTCTTTGCCTTTGTTTCTCCCTTGTTATCTCTGCTTCTGTTCTCTATTTTTGTCTGTCTATTCTTCAATGAGATATTCATGATTTTTATGCTAACTTTCATAAACTAACCTTTAACCCTTAAGTTGCACAACACATCATATGATGGGTTGAGTGACTTGCTATAAATTGTGCATCCCATCATATGATGTATTGGAGTACTACGCAAGATTTAAAACGACCCGCAGATACACGGTGTTCACCACACCTTCATCAGGGCTCTTGTAAACAGACACTTTTTAAACAAAATCGTGGGCCAAATTCCCGGGTGTGAGGGGCCTCAGTATTGAGTGAGCCACCAAGCCTGACGCACGCAGCATGAGCTCACAGCACTGCTGTTCAGCTTGTGACCACAGCATCACCTAAAAATGCCATAATGTACATGTTCATGCTATTATTTAGCAATATTATTATTACAGAAGACCCCTGACTGTGATAAAAATGACCAGGATTCTGATAACAGCAGGATTGTTGTGATAATTAGCGCTGTAGTGGGAGGAGTAATCTTGGTGGGGAGGGAGGTAGCATTGTCTGCTGACTCTGTGTGACCACCTTTTACTGTCTGGACTCACTATACCAGCTTAGTTGTTCACTATGGTAAACAAAACATGCAGATACTTATATATAACATCTGTATATAAAAGCAAAAACAGTATGGTGGGAGGAGAATGGTGGCGAGTGAGGTGAGGGAGGGAGTGGCAGCCAGTGGCGGGCTGCCACTGGCTGCTACTGCCACTCAGCATACCAACTTAGTGGTTCGTTATGGTGAACACGAATGTAGATACTTTTATATAACGTGTATATATAGTGTAATAACAGCAAAAGGAGTGTGGGTGAGAAGACATTTTGGTGATGGGTGTGGCAACATCTGCATGATTTATGTTGGTAGGGGTGGCCACTATTCTCTTTGGGCATTATATCAGCTTAGTTGAACAGTTATGGTGAACAAAACATGTAGATACTTATATATAACGTCTGTATATAGGGTAATAACACCACAAACAGTATTGTTGGGGGTGAAATTTTTAGTGCGTTTGACCTTGAATGTGTGAGGGAAGAAGCCGCCAGCTGACTGTGTGCACTCACCATACCACTAAGCTGGTATGGTGAGTGCATTCAATAAAAGGTGGCCACACACGGTCAGAAGATAATGCCACTACCCTCCCCTCCCACAGCATTACTCCTCCCTCCCACAGCATTACTCCTCCCTCCATGGCGCACAGCGCTAAATATCACCACAATCCTGCTATTATCAGAACCCTGGTCAGTTTTATCACAGTCAGGGGTCTTCTGTAATAATGTCATCGCTACATAATAGCATGAACAAGAATATTATGGCATTTTTAGGCGATGCTGTGGTCACAAGCTGAACAGCAGTGCTGTGAGTTCAAGCTGCGTGCGTCAGGCTTGGTTGCTCACTCAATACTGAGGTCCCTAACACCCGGGAGTTTGGCCCACGATTTAAAAAAAAAATGGCGATTGTTTAAAAGAGCCCTGATGAAGGTGTGGTGAACCCCGTGTATCCGCGGGCCGTTTAAATCTTGCGTAGTACTCCAAAGCATCACATGATGCGATGCGCAATTTACTGCAAGTCGGTCAAAGCATCATATGATGTGATGCTCAATTGAAGGGTTAAGGTGCTTGATAAATTATTGATGAGTAATACTAGTACAGTATTAGTTGTCGAGTTGTAAGTCTCGTCCTTATCCAAAACGCTGGTCCTTGTGCTCAACACCCAAAACGCTGTGCGTTCTAGTGGCTTTAGACATATTACATTATATACTTGCTTTATATAGAAATCCAGCATTCTGTAACTCATTGTGTATGTATGTATTTTACCCTAAATAAAATTATCTTGCTATATACTCAGACCTAGTAGATAAAGCACTCAGGAGAGTGCAGAAGACCTGATGTAAATTTTCACAAAATACACAAATATTTATGGTTTTCATGCAAATTAATATGTATCTATTTTCAGAAAAAAGTGGAACCTTTTTTGGTTTTGCTTCCTGCATTACTTCCTCAACCTAAGGAAGTAATGCAGTATACAATAGATAAGGAAAAAATATCATTTCCAAATGAAGGTAAGTGTCATTCGTTCTGTAAAAGATCACTAATCTGCTCCCAATTAATCCAGTTCTTTGAGTAGTCTGGCCAAAATCAAGTAAGTATTTGTCTCCTTAACTTTGCCAAATTTGACAGAAATCCAGGTTATTGGGAGTTTTAACTTCATTACTGAATTACATCTGAAGACATATGCTTACTAGAATGCAAAGGGCAATCAACCAGTGAAGCATTTGCTGGTAATCAAAACTTACCTTGCTAAGCTCATGTACAGAAATTTTAGTGTTAGGTTAATAAATTAATATTAATAAAAAAACAGCATTGAATGTCATGAAACGCCATTTTCTGGGCAAGTCCCCGGAGGCTCCCTGGAGCTATCAGGCTAATATGTGAATCATTAGACCAGGGCATTATAGTCTAAGGAGTTCAGCATACCAGGGACTAAAAGCCAGAACCTGGCCCCCCCTCCCTCAGAGCAATAGCCTATAGAAACCGTGCAGTGGAGAGTGGGAGGGATGCAGAGGGAGAGTCTGGGATTTGGCCAGAAAATGGCATTTCATTACATTCAATGCTGGGTTTCTGTGGAGAGCCCTTCCGGCTCCCTGGAGCTATCTATCCACAGTAAAAGGAAAAGAGGGACTTACCTGGGTGGCAGCCACCACTTGCACCTAAACTCCAAGTAGAGACAACTGGCTGCAACCTGCGACCCAAAGCGACACTCGCCCAACTAGGGCCAGGACATTAACGAGGTAATGGGTGGCCAGGACCCTTTTCGACCTCCAAAATCCCTATGCCCAAATATCAGCCCAAGACATTACTAAAAAGACAGCTATAGCAGCAAACTTGCGAACATCTTGGACATGAGGATAGACCGCAGGTTGGCTGGACCGAATAACCCTGCGGGGAGGACCTGGGAGACCCGAGCCCTGGAACAAGGAAGAAGGGAAATTGGGCAACCCAAAGGGCGTCCCAGCCACCGAGGCCGTAGTGCACAAATAACGGCAAAGAGCTGTAACCAGACATAATGCACAATGCACCCCAGGCTGAATGAACCAAGCATCAACAACCCAAGGAAGTCTCTGGAAAGCGGCCGTCACGTTCTTTGCCAGAAGAGAGGGATATGGCTGCAAACAAACAAACCTACCACCAGGATCGAAAAAACAGAAACCCCTGAACCGGAGGAGAGAATGAAGCGTCCAGATCTACCTCCAGTGGCCAATGCCAACAAGAAAAGAGGCTTATCAAAACAATTCTGAACCAATGGGGCCACCACAAACCGAGGAGAAGAGAGAAATCAGAGCACCCGGTGCAACGACCAGGGCAGCTCAGTCGGCGCATGAGCAGGCCGGAGGTGAAACAACGCACAAGACAGCTTGTGAAACAGAGCAGAAGTAATATAAACCCCAAACGCAAGCAGGAGTGTGTCTGCCAGCGCTGTACGATATAAGGCAACAGTATTCGACATAAGACGAAAGTCCTGAAACAGTCAAGAGAGAGAAAGGACAAAAGAACTCAACCTGAAACCAAAGACAACCCACATAGACCCACCTGATCACCATACAAGTGGTGATAAACCCACATCAGAAAGACCAGTTGCATAGACTGATACCTGCTTGATGGGGTTCTGGGAGTTCTTCTACTCCCCAAGCCCAGCCCGAGGCCAGACTTGACTTGTGAGAGTTTGGTCCACCAGGCTGTTGCTTGGAGCGGCCCTCAGGCCCACATACCCACCACAGCCCGGCTGGTCCGGCACTCCTGGAAGAAAACAATCTAGTTTCCTCTTGAAGATGTCCACGGTTGTTCCGGCAATATTTCTGATGCTCGCTGGGAGGGTGTTGAACAACCGCGGACCCCTGATGTTCATACAGTGTTCTCTGATTGTGCCTATGGCACCTCTGCTCTTCACTGGTTCTATTCTGCATTTTCTTCCATGTCGTTCACTCCAGTATGTTGTTATTTTACTGTGCAGATTTGGGACCTGTCCCTCCAGTATTTTTCATGTGTATATTATTTGGTATCTCTCTCGTCTCCTTTCTAGTGAGTACATTTGGAGAGCTTTTAGACGATCCCAATAATTTAGGTGCTTTATCTCGTCTATGCGTGTCGTATATGTTCTCTGTATTCCCTCTATTTCAGCAATCTCTCCTGCTCTGAAGGGGAAAGTGAGTACTGAGCAGTACTCAAGACGGGACAACACAAGTGATTTGAAGAGTACAGTACAAACATTGTGATGGGATCTCTGGACTTGAAGGTTCTCGTAATCCATCCTATCCTTTTTCTGGCTGACGCAATACTTGCTTGGTTATGCTCCCTAAACGTTAGGTCGTTGGACATCATTATTCCCAAATCCTTGACAAGCTGTTTTCCTACTATGGGCAGATTCGATTGTGGTTTGTACCTTGAATTATGTTTGAGCCTCATTTTTGCTATTCTGAGTACCTGGAATTTATCACCGTTAAACATCGTGTTATTTTCTGCTGCCCAATCGAAAACTTTGTTAATGTCTGTCTGTCTAGTTTTTCAATGTCTTCATCTGAGGTAATTTTCATGTTGATTTTTGTATCATCTGCAAAGGATGACACGAAGCAGTGACTTGTATTTTTGTCTATATCTGATATGAGAATAAGGAACAGCAGTGGTGCAAGGACTGTACCTTGAGGTACAGAGCTTTTAACTGTGCTCGGACTCGATTTTACTTGATTGACTGTTACTCTTTGTGTTCTGTTCGGCAGGAAATTGAGTATCCAGCTTCCTACTTCACCAGTTATACCCATTGACCTCATTTTGTGTGTAATCACTCCATGGTCACATTTGTCGAATGCCTTTGCAAAATCTGTGTATACAACTTCTGCATTATGTTTTTCTTCTCATGCCTCAGTGATTGTCATAATGGTCAAGTAGCTGTGAGAGGCATGATCTTCCTGCTCTAAATCCATGTTGGCCTGGATTGTGGAGGTCATTGGTTTCCATGAATCTAGTGACCTGACTCCTGATTGCTCTCTCAAATGCTTTTATTATGTGGGACGTTAGTGCAACTGGTCTATAATTCTTTGCCAATGCTTTGCT